AGAGGAGAATAAAACACGAGATCAGTGGGGAAAGGTAAGAATGAACAAAGAATTTGTATATTAATTAGTGTGTCTTCAAGAATAAGGAGAAAGTTAATAAGAGAAGGTGTTAAGAATACATGTGGCACCAGAGTAGGGGGTGGGTGAGATGTAATTCAGGATAGTGTTTGTGCATTTAGGAAATACTTTTGGAGGTATTTTGGAGGTATTACCCAGTGTTAAATTACAACCTCAATACTAGCATCTAGCATCCTAGAGGAAAATCCCATGTGCTTATTGGATACGCCTTTGGTCATCAAATCCAAGTGCATAGGAAAATCCTATACTTTCCTGACAACAATGTTTAGGGGGGATTAGCCAATGGTTCTCAAATGTGATTCCTGCACCAGCAACCCCTGGGTACTTGTTAGAAATGAAAATTCTCAAGCCCCACCTAAGACCCTCAAATTAAAGCCTCCGGGGTGGCCACGCACTCTATTAACACACTCTCCAGGAAGATGAGGGAGAGCCTTCCAGCCTGTCTGAAATGGGAAGTCCTTGAGCTTAAACTGAGCAGTTTAGCTTTCCAGAAAAGCATTAAGTTAGACATCTTAGGTTCGTACTTTCAGTAAAAACAGTACAAAGTAAACATTTTCTTGCATATGAGAACTGGTTATTTAGTTCAGCCTTACATCAGTTAAATAAGTTAAACTATTCAGGCTATGTGACTAATTTTTAGTGCCGCCATAACAACCTTCTTCGTAGTAAGTTAATTCCTGATATGGAGGAGAGTTGTTTTTTTCCCCCAAAAGAACAATCTGACATCTGTTGTACTGTCAGTTTTTTTCATGCAAGTATTAAAAGGTGACACTTTTATTACACTTAAGCCATACTTGCATCTTTTTTTTTTTTTGAGTTGGAGTCTCACTCTGTCACCCAGACTGGAGTGCAGTGGCTGCTCCCGGCCACCGCAGCCTCGACCTGCTGGGCTCCGGCGATCTCTCTGCCTCAGCCTTCCAAGTAGCCGGAATTACAGGCATGTGCTACCACGCCCGGCTGATTCCTTGATTTATTGTAGAGATGAGGTCTCCCCTGCCCAGGCAGGTCTCGAACCCGCGGGCTCAGGCAATCCATTGCATCTTTTAAAAGAACATCCAGCAGAGGTACAGGAAACTTACATGGCCTTCTACTAGAAATTTTTTCTCAGATTTTGGTTGAAATGGATTTTGTAACAATCACAGCATTTTCCAGATACGTTTGCAACCTGCCATAGACTTCTACTCCCTGTTGGTGATCATTCCACATAAAATCATAAGATAGTAATACTTTTTGAGTTGGAGTCTCACTCTGTCGCCCAGGCTGGAGTGCAGTGGCACACTCAAGGCCACCCCATCGCCTCCGACGATCCTTCTGCCTCAGCCTTCCAAGTAGCCAGAACTACAGGTGCAAGCTACCACACCCAGCTAATTTATTATTTATTGTAGAGACAAGGTCTTGTCAAGTTGCCTGGGCTGGTCTCGAACCCGTGGGCTCAGGCAATCCACTTGACTTGGCCTCCCAAAGTGCTGGGATTATTGACTGAGTCACCAAGCCCAGCCAAGATATTAATACTAAATAACCTCACCGATTTGTGAATAAAGTTTTAATATCATTCCATGCTATAGAGTCTGTGATGTAGATGATCAGGTCAGGGAAACCTGAGACCTCACCCTGCTGGCGGCCAACTGTGTCTGGCATCTGCTCACACTCAAGCCCTGCACCTCGTCCAATGCTGCATGAGTATCATCTGTGAAACCTGATAGTTTGAGAGACTGTATCCTGCTTTAGTGCCTAACCCCTCCCCATCAGCTCCAACTCAGACTTTGAGGGTCAGCTGTCCACCTACCTGTTTTCCCAGCTCTAACCTGAAAAAAGGCTGCCTGCAATCCAGTGTTGTGAGCATTCAGCAGGTGACAAATACTTGTGAAGCTCATAGTCGAATGCTCGCATGTCTTCCAGGAATTATTGGTACATTGTGCTGTCACAGTCTAATTTGTTGAGTGAGTGAATGTTGATGGCTGACAAGGATAGTGTTCATGAAAACTCTGCAAATCAGGGTATATTTAGGAAGAGCCGTATAAGTATTCGGAGAAATTTTTTCAAAAGGACTTCAAAGGAGGATTCTGGACTATCATCTGCCTATCTGAGCACGGGCCCATTTTCTCATCAGTAAAATGGAAATAATATTATTTGCTTCATGTTTGAGAATTAAGTGAAAAAACATGGCACCTGATAAATCTACCATTCCCTTTTGGGTGATTAAATCTTTCATTAGCACTGATATTCTCCCCTCTTTAGAACACAACTGAAATACATAATTAATGCATTCTGTTAACTCAAAAGCCAGAAAGTTTTATTCTGATATATAAAACCAAGAAAACTTTAATACATAATATGACATAGTTTTGTTTTAAAGAAGAAAAGAAAATGTCAGAAGCACAGACTTGGGTAGAAAAATACGCTTAAGCAGCTGTTCCAAGCAGTTCATAATTTCTAAAATCATGAACAATAGCGCACAAATCTCAAAGCTTCTTTTCTTTAAAAAATTATTCACATTTGCTTAACAACTTAAAACATGGTAAGAAACATAACCTTTCTTCTTGGTAGCAGACCCAGTTATTTAGCAGATATTCAATACCCAACAATAATTTAGTAAAATAACATTTCCTTTGCAATAGTCACTCAGCATTAGACTTTTGGTTTTATAAGACTTGTCTCTTTAAAAAAACACTTCCAAATGCTGGGTACCAAACAAGATACTCTTACAGTTCATCAGAGCCCATCAGTTTGGAAGGATCTGGATCCTCAAGTGAGCCCTCACAGGGGTAACATCTTTGGTCTTCCCTGTGCTTAGGAACAAAGGGTCAGTGAGTCAGCCATTGCATACAAATAACAAAATCAAACATAGGTGCAGGAAACCACACTCCTCAGCAAAAGCTATTTCTGCCCAGTAAACAAATTCGTTTGCAGGTTACCTGATGTTAAATTACCACCACGATACCAGCATCTAACATCCTAGAGGAAAATCCTATGTGCTTATTGGATGGGCCCTCAAATCCAAGTGCATTCTTTTGTTTATTGGGCAGTGGAAAGAATTTTCTTTTCACTTAATAATCAGAAAAATGAAAATGTTGAGATGCACCAGTTTTCCATCTGTTTTCAGCTGGACATACACGAAGTCACGACAGTTCTGCCACTGACCAGCAGGTGGTGCTGGACCACAAGGAGAAGCAGCAGGAGGCGCTCGCAGCTCTGGCAACCTAGAAAAATATTTTTACCTGTATTTACAGGAAAGATTTATTTGGTCAAAGTTTAGTTCTCAAAGTACAAATGTAACATTTTCTCCCTGACGTTGTATTCCAACAGAAAACATACTTCATATAAAATTTAATTGGATCAAACACGAAGAAACCTTTAAAATTACTAAATATATAAATGTTGCTAGAAGATCAAAGTGACAATGAATTCAGTTTTTGCTAAAAATCATTAAGTTCTGGCTGGGCGTGGTGGCTCAAACCTGTAATCCCAGCACTTTGGGAGGCCGAGATGAGGGGACTGCTTGAGCCCTCGGGTTCGAGAACAGCCTGGGCAACTTGGCGAGACCTCGTCTCTACAATAAATCACAAAATTAGCCAGGCATGGTGGTGTGTGCCTGTAGTTCCAGCTACTTGGAAGGCTGAGGTGGAAGGATTGCTTGAGCCCAGCGGGTGCATGTGAGCATGCCACTGCGCTCCAGCCTGTGTGACGGAGTAAGACGCCAACTCAAAAAAATAAAAATCATTAAGTTCCATGTGACTTCTTAGAGTTAAAAACGAGAACTGACCATTTAATTCTATAAATGAAAATTAGCATGTATTAATTGTGACATAAACAAAGACAACAGAACTTCTATCGAAACAAATGTGCTTTCAAAGCCCTCACTGGAGGTGTGTGGTGCTCCTCAATAATTTCTGCTGAAAACATTTCAAAAATTGCCCTCAGAGTCCATAAACCCATCATGTCCATGACCTGGTCCACAGGAAAGGCTGGTTGTCACCTCAGAGTCAGTGCTGGCTTTCATTCCACTGCCACTGCTGAGCTCTACCTTCCAGTCCAGCGGAGCTGGCTGCTTCCCTGCGTTAGAGTTACCCTCAAAGGCAGACGGGCCACCTCTGGTGGTCACAAAAACAGCCTCCCACCCCGGGGACCATTCCACAACTGCCGGTGCCAGGACGTGCCCATGTCCAAGGCCCATTTGGTTTTAAAATATGAGTATAAACACTGAAGATCTGGGATGCATCTCCATGGTCGTGCCCACTACAGGTTTGGGTGCCTTTGTTCTTAAAAACCAATCTCTTGCCACTGATATCAGCACATCAGCCCTCATGCAAGTCAGCAGAAAGCACCATGAAATACTGCTGATATCAAGGAGCATATCTTGCATGGGCTAAGTTAAAAACACGAATCTATTTTTTAAAAAAGTAATTTTAAAGCTTCATTTAAATAATGAAGTATTTTCAAAATGTAAATTTAAACATTTTAAGATGTAAAAATGAAGCATTTTCTGCACTTGGGCAGATCTTTTCTATCACTTTGCAAAGGCGCTGGGAACCACACTCAGGCCATGTGTAGTGTGTGTGTGCACCGACATAGCTTAAGCTCGGTGGAGAAATTCTCTAAAAACAGCATTTGTATGTTCGGTCCAGAAGTTGAAATAAAGCGCGGGGCTGACGGTGACGATGAGGTTGTGGCTGTTGGCGATCATGTCCGTGACTCGGCCCAGCGTCTTCCCGGCCACCACGATGCCGGTCACCTCCAGGAGCCCGTCGTTCACGGCCAGCAGCCCGGTGCTCTCGGCCAGGCCCCCGGGCAGCCAAACAACAAAAAGGGAGAGAGGAAGCAGACCGTCCTCCCCTCACTTTAAAACAGGAACACACGCTTGGGACACATTTCCCCTCGACACCGGCGATCACTGTTTTCGACGGGCCCGGCCGCCCGCGCGCCTAGAGCGTGACTGCCGGGCCGTGCTCCTCCACCCCGCCCTGCGGCAGCACCAGGCTGTGGCGCGGGTCGGCCTTCAGGGAGCTGAGCAGTCTGTGGATGCTGCCATTGCTCTCGCGCGCCGCCCCGTCCAGGAGCAGGTCCCGCTGCAGCCGGTGCGCGAGGCCTGTGCCGTTGACGCGCGCCAGGCTGGGTGCGTGCTGGGGCCTGGCGGGCCGAGGGGGCTCCGGGGCGCCCTCGATGACGACGTCGGCCTCCTCGTCGCTGTCCGCCTCGTCGGGGTGGAAGTTCTGCAGGACGCGTGGGGCCGGCGGGCCGGGGTCCAGGGCCTGGCCAGAGGCTGCGAGATGAAGATGCCGGGCACCTTCTCCAGCCCGTGTGGCGTGACGCGCACGCTGGCTCCGTCGCGGATGTAGAAGCCCAGCGGCCTCTGGCAGCCGTGCCGGTACAGTCGCACGCGGCGGTGCGTCTCTGGCAGGACGTCCACGTCGATGATGGAGGACACCGGGCGGAAGTCGTGCGGCAGGCCGATGTCCAGGTGCGCGCGCCGGCGCAGGCCCTCGTCCCGCAGCGCCACCAGTGCCTTCTTCTTCCGGGACAGAGTGCCCGCCCCGAAGTTGTAGTGGTCGGCCTCCTCTGCGTGGGCACAAAGGGGACAGTGAGTGGGGGGAGGGGCAGCCAGAAAGCGCGCGCCCGCACCGAGGGCAGGCAGCACAGAGAACTAGAACCCGAGGCCGGGCCCCAGGGGCCCGTTCAGTGACCTCTTTCAGCCGCCTGCGGCAATCCTCCGATCTGCGTAGGAGCCCAGGCAGAAAAACCAGAGACATTAAGGACCTTGCATTCACGGTCAAACACGCAGGAGCTGAACGTCCCTTCCACCAACTGACACGCAAAGGCACTGGAGTAACTCAGGGGCTGTTTTTCTGCCCACCTGATCCAAACAGCACTGGGGCCAAATTCAAGTGCAGTCACTTCTCTAAAATGAACTCTCTAGAGCTCTCCAAACTTCACCACAGACGCCAGGTTAAGAGATGGTAGTAAGAGCCTGGAACAAAGAACTAACAACAGGTGGAAGGTTTAAGTGTGCAGGAGTCTGGTGAGTGTGACACCCCAGCAGAGAGACACCAGGAGTTTTCAGGGAGATAGGAGGCTGGACTACAGGACTTCTTAAGCTTTACCCAGTCAAGTTCTTAAAAACAATTCCTCCACATATTTTTTTCTTCTTCAACTATAAGACAGAGACTCAGTTCTTTTTTCAGATTCATCATGTATAAGAAAGAGCATTCATTTTTTTTTTCCTATTTGTAAGCACCCATGAATTAATTCTACAGTGTTTGCTAACCAGCAATTCAGTGTAACTTAGCAGAGAACAGAACCATTCCTGGGCTTTGTTGGTTAGCAACTGATGAGGTGAACAAGCAGATGGAGATGGGAGGGAATGTGCCGTCCTTTTGCTTCCCGAAGAGCCTGCACACCGTGTGCCAATGTTATCTGGAGGTAGATGAACGCTCAGGGCCCACCCTATGCAGGCTCATGGTATGACATCCCGTGTACCCACGGAGCACCCACAGGCTTGTGGCATGACATCACGTGCTTGTGGAAGTGTGAACACTTTACCCTAAAGCTGGGCTACTGTAAAATAAAAGTCAAATGGATTAATCAACCAGAAAGGCATTGTAAGGAGCTCAGTCTAAAGTAAATATAAAGTAAGGGATTGTGGCATTTGGAAACTCTGAAGAAACATTTTCCTCAAGAAACAAAATAATTCTTCCTTTGATTTTCATAGTAAACCTCTTCTGTGTCTACGAGGCTCTGTAGACAGGTATTTCAGGGAGCAGACAGAAGGGCTTGATCCCCATGGAACCTTCCTCCCAGGACACACACGAGTCTGTGGCTCTGCACACGCGGTCCCATGGAGTCCACTGCATCTCACTGCGGTCTACTCTCTGGGCTTGGAGACCGACTCCTTTACTTTGCCAGTGAAAATCTGACCAGGTATACCACTTCTTGCCCTTCCTCCCTTTTGTCAAGGGGTGACCATTTCTCTGAAAAGTGCTCCCGGCTCCCAGGCCCCTGGGGAAGGCTGGCACATGGGCACCCCAAATCCGACTTCCTTCTTTATTTACGTGGCTGCGAGAGACAAAAGGCTGATGGATTAAAAAGAAACCACAGGCGGGGGAAGCTGGGTAAGAGAAAAGGGAAAAGAGAAGGAAAGTGAGTCAGTGACAGTCCTGGGAGCCGGCAGAAAGTTCTCTTAATTACCTATCAACAAGAATATCTCTCTGGGCTGAATTCCTGCCAAAAAGGTGTGGCATTTCTTTCAACTTACAAGAACCAAATGCCCACCCTCCCGACAGCACACAGGACTGCCAAGCACACCCCAGCCAGGAGGACTGGGAGCCCCCCTATGAACAGGCAGCTCCTCGAAGGAGAGACTGCCAGGCCCCAGGGGTCAGTCAGCTTCTACATTTTGGCGAGCAGGCAGGCCCTGTTATGATTTGCTTTGGGGATGTGGAACACTGTTGACAGCTCTGGAAAGGACTTCAAAGACAAAATTACTTCCACCACAGAGGCAACATTCAGGCAGCTTGGAAAGGCAGCCGGTGCTTGGGCGTCTCATCCCTCAACCCAGCAGTGCCGTGGCTGCCTAGACGAAAAGGCCCTGGCAGAGGCTCTGGAACATGCTAGAGGCAGCAGGATGAACACACCCGGGAGCCAGGACGCACTAGGGCGAGGACAGTTGCCAGCACTCAGCACATACCTGCCCCCAACTGAGTCTGCCCAGCATCGATCATAGCACCAACGGAATTATCATCGTTACTTATTCCATACTGACGCGTGGAGGTGAGGTCTGGATGACTTTTAAAATTATATTTGTGATATTCCTTCCCAGGTGTGGTTGGCCTGTATCTATCAAGTCTCTTTCTATACACTCACAAACACGTGCATGGGTAGGGCTGTCTGTGCTTGTTTTATTGAAACGGGATCTCAGCTCTTGGCCAGCATCCAGCCTCCCTGCACCTTATGGACTCTGCCAGTGCTTATTCGGTGACCTCAGGGACACAGAGGAGTGAGCAAGTCCCTGCCCTGAAGCAACCATGAAGCCAGTGGGAGGGAGAAAGACCTCATTTTAAATACAACCCACGGGAAACACCACAAGACTGGACGTGCGCAGACACAATGGGAACAGTGAGGGGTCTGGGGAGAAGGATGGCAACTCACGATGCCTGGGGGTGAGGTGAGTAACCTGGAGTTCATATGCAGGAGGGTGAGGGGCACCGGGAGGAGGTGCATCTGTAGGGCTGTCAGGTCCAGCGGCTGCCGCTGGTTGGACTGACCAAGGGCCTGGGACTGAGTAAACTCTCCCCAAATTCCAGTAAAGGCATCTGCCTGGTGAAGGCTTGCTCTCACTGGGAGCGGGTGTGGACCTAGAGGAGGTCAGGTGGAGGATGGGATCTCCCAAGGCTCAGGTTAGCCCCATTTCCATGACACAGGTTCTTTCCAAGGGGTCTACTCGCATAACAAAGGCAAGCCTGTAGGTGGTATGTTGCGAAGCAGGTGACCGCCCTCATGCTGCTCTTTGGGGGTGGGCACTCGGGACTCTTTGCTGTTTTGAGGCAGGAAGGAAGCAGAGCCTCCCAGAAAAGATAGCCTGTATGCAATGGTGCATTTCCACGTGTGAGGTTCTGAACAGCCTCTGAGGCCTGCAGTGCACAGGCAGAGTGAAGGGAGGCAGGACCTGGGTGAAGCGAAGTGCTGCCGCGCCCAGCGTCCTCTTTCTTTCTACCCCGGACGCCCAGAATTTCAGATGTGATTCCATCTCCTCTCCCAGGGCTGGCTTGTTTTCAAGCCCCAGTTCACCAGCCACCTTCCTGAAGCCCCAACACTAGGCTGGGCCGTCCGCCTACATGGCACATTTCTTTCAGTGAAACCACAAGCATGTCTGCGTCAGGAGGGCAGCCCGGTCCCTGTGGGGTGGGCGAGTGCTCCGATCACATTCCTGGTGGACCAACTGAGGATCAAGTTCAGAGCTGTGGATACAGAGAAGGGCACCATGGGGGTCCTCCTCTAAGGGGTCTACAAGTCACTTAGGCTGCAATAAAAGCACATGTGTGGACTTCTGCCTGCAGGAGGGGTTGAGTGGTGAAGTTCTTCCCATCCCACCCGCTAAATTCAACAAAAACCCTGGATGATACACACAAAACAAGATGACACAGGGGAACAAAGGCAAACTAGCTGGGGCCTCAGTACGGTGCCCCCCTCCCCCCGGATTTTCTCTTTGCCTCATTGGCCCAGACTCAGAGCTAAAGGAGCCAGTCACCTGGACATGCCAATAGACACAGACCAAAAGACCCCAACATAAGTCTGCTGTGTCTGTCCAAAGACCAGAAGAGGCAGCCTGAAAGGACAAAGCATGTTGGACAATAACTGCTCCACCTGTCCAAACACAGCAGGAAGAGATGCCACCCTGCCCCACTCAGAGCAAGGGCCAGGCATGGGGTAAAAACCCAGGACTTTTTAATCTTTTTTTCCATGGGCTCCACAGCCCTGAGGAGGCCTCTCCTCTCAAAAACACTCAGAGGCTATTGTAATATCCCCGGGCCAAGCCTGCCTGGCCTCCACATCCTCCAAATCTCAAGGGGCGCTGTCTCTGTGACATGTTTTCTTTTTACCTAAAGAGCTCACAGCTTATGATCAGCATGCTTGAGTACTTTTTGCCAGCTTCACATTGCTCTTTCCTGTGTGGTGTCTGCATGCTGTGTCCACAGTAAGAGGATGAAGCTGTGCGTCCTGCGGGCCTTCAAGTACTTGAGCAGAGAGCAGCATTGTTTACCCGTCCAACAATAACGTGACACAAAATCCTAGCTAACTTCAAATTAAGCCTTTCAATGATAGGTCTTTCCTTCTAGAACTTTAGTAAGGTTTATTTTTTTTTTTTTAAATGGTATTAGGTTAACCTCTAGGAATTTTCCAGAAAAACATTATAATTTATCATTTCCACTTATTTCCTAAGAAAGCTACCACTTTGCCACCATCTGGGCCTGTAAACAAATGCTGTTTCTCGTCACTTGTGTTTTCCTTCTGAATCCAAGGCTGGCGTGTCGGCAGGACACAGCCTCGGCTCCCTGACACCATATGGTCAGGTCGGCACGCATGCAGCACCCCGTCCTAATCATTAACTAATCCTTTCCTCCTCTCAGCTGCACCCCAAATTAAACCAAGGCCTGGAGGCAGGGCTGTGTGCGTCTCTCCTGGCAGCTCTACCTGGGATCTGGAATGCCTTTAGTGGGACGCCTTTAGCCAAGCAGGCAGCACTGCTTTGGACATCTGTGCCACAGTAGATACTGTTGACAGACCACCAAGCGAGGGTTGTGGGGGACCAGGAGGATTCCTTATCTCAGTGGAAAGTTCTGGAATTAGGTTTTTTAGAGAGGCAGGAAGCTGGGCTGCTCTCTGCCTTTTGACCACCTGCAATGCTGGCGTTCTCACTGAACATTGGTGCCCACGCTGTGGAAAGCACAGGTTCCGGAAAACTGGAGATTTTCCAGTTTGTTAGTGTCATGCTTACTTTCTAGCAATTCATACACAGAAATATAAACTATTTCCCATATTTACCGGTAAGTTAGAATGTTGTT